TGTGTGTCTGTCTGTGTGTGTGTCTGTGTCTGTGTGTGTGTGTGTGTGTGTGTGTGTGTGTCTAGACAAGAGGCAGTGGATCTGCTTTCCATCCACCTGATGTCAGTCGAAAATGAGGTCATTGATAAACACAGCCTGACTTGCTGAGTCAGCTGGAAAAATAATGTAAAATAAAAGATGCAGGAATTAATAATAATAAATCTTTAAATAAATTAGTAAAGTTCAGTAAATGTGTATGCAATAAACATAGTGCACGTCACACAAATACATACACGTATTTTAGCTCAGTGGCTCAGATCAGGAAGCACCACAGAGGAGGTTGAACGTTAATTCCGATTTATTCATGGCACACACGCACATGCACACTTTGCACTGATGCCATATTACATTTGATTAGATGCTAATTTTGGGGGTTTTCAGTTTGGTAGCAGATGTTTTTTCACTTAGCTTGTTCACTGTTGCTCCATTTCCCTTGTTAAACAGGTTAACATCTTTCATTTTACTCTACACAGCCAGTTGCTTGTTTTACTCAAGGCACCAAATGTCTAACACACATGTATCATGTAATTTCCAGTGAATATCTTTGTTAAGTTGCATGTGAGCATTATAGCCATTGGGTCGGGGCTTGTCTGGTATCAGAGAACTTGTTGTTCTCTCTGCTGCTGTCCTTCTGGTCCTTGAAGTGATGCTGATGTGGATATGATGCCATGTGACACATCGAGTTGGGGAGACATGGGGGCATTCAAATATGTCTCTAGGCTGGAAGTGTGTGTGTTTGTGTGTGTGTGCACGCACTTTGCTCTCGTGTGAACAGATTTGAGAGGATAACCACGCAAGCTTCATGCTAGAGTACACACAGCGTGGGGGACAGGAATAGACTCTATACACAAATGTTGATGGTAGTTGGGGCTGATGGGAGTGCACGTGGAGCTTGTGCACATGAGTCCCCCCTCCCCCGCTCACTGGTGATGTCAGACCGTGTACAGTATGCTACCACTGGCAACGAGTATTAGCCCATCCCCCCTCCAGACTGGGCTACATCATCATCATCATTACTGGAGCAGCTTTTGGGTGTTCCTCCAGTGTTTAAACACACACATACACACACACAAAGTGTCATTGAGACCAAAATACACATATTTATAATTTTTTTCCTCGCTGCCTTGCAATCTTTATGCAGCCATTCTGTCGCAGCATCAACCATAGTTTACTAATCCCATAATTGGTCTGTCATAACTGTCTAGTGCACTTAATTAAAGGAAACACATTAAAAGCTGAGATACTGTACACTGTAGTTGGTATTGAAAGGGACAAATAACAATGACAAGCTTACACACACTCTCAAACACACACGTTTGCATCTGTATATAACCTTGCCAGAGCTGACAACCTTCTTCGTGTATTTATTTTCAAAGCTCTGCATCATTACCAATGCACTTTGACATACACACACAAACATGCATGTTGAAAACAAACATGCAACCAACCAGTAATACAAAGCACATGTAACACAGTCATCCTATTTTCTGAAACTTGCACTGAACTTGAACACTTGGATCAATAGAGTAGCTTTTTATTGGTAGTGTTTGCTGCCCGAGACACAACACACTTGTAATGAGCTTAACTTTTTGATTTAATAGCTGCTGACATTGAATGTGTTCAGCTCGTAGTGACTTAATGGAGAACATGATGCTGTCAGTGAGTCAATCTTGTATCTGCAGTGTCGTGTTTCTAATTGACATGCAGCAGAAGAGCAGAAACTGTAAGCCAGTTTGATAGATTACACTGCACTACAGACAACAATACTCAGACGGCTTAATGAAAAGTCTCACATCAACTCTTGGTCCTTTTTCTCTTTGAAACAATATAAATCAGTGCAGACCACACACACGTCTGCCTGCTGTGTCAGTGTCACATTGTGGTAGAGAAAAGTGCAGCCTGTATAAACAGTGCGTGCTCTGGATGATAGAAGAAGACAAGTTCAAGACAGGCGCAAGTTGAGAATTAGCTGAAGAGCATTGTAAAAAAGCTCAGGAGCAGAAAGGAATTCTGGGAATGTTGTTCTCCGGAGCAGGTGCAGACTGACATCTCATCCTACCCCCCTTCGCTGTGTACTTCCCCACAGGCCAAGTCATGGCCTTTATAGAATAAACTAGCCGAGCAGGTGTTGTTGCTTAAGCGTATGCTTGTTCTTCCTCCAGTTCCTCCACTAAAGAGTTGAAGATGAGGGTGCGGTTGAGATTATATGATGAGATCATCACCTCCTAGGGTTTTTGGGGTTATGGTCAACATGTTCCAACACATGCAGGGCGTGATGCTGATCCCTGGCTTGATTATCTCCAATAAGCTCCAGCTGATCCTGAGGACTAGAGACTGAGAAACAAGTCAATATCTATTTATTGGAGGGATTCTGTGCTTTTCTTTTATGGAATTACTTTCGGGCCTATTGTGCTGTTTTGGTTAATTTAGGTTTGTGTGTCAGAGGAATAAGAAATACAATTTGACATAGTAGAAGTACAGCCTCTGTGGCCCACATACTAGGAGTTGCCATAACAACTGACCCTGTAAAATGTGGACATTTGTCTGTGTGTGCATGTGTGCATGTGT